GATACCACTCTGTTACCATCAGGTGTTAAAACTGTTTTAAGTTGTATTTAAAGGTTGTTTAACATGCGCTAACCATTCATAGGAAGGACCTCCTTTTAACTATTGAGGAGGGTCTCAAAATTAGCCTATCTATGATTTTACAAGTAAATCCCTCTTCCCTCCCCTTTTTGCCATTACCGTCATCTAAACTCTTCGTAGTAGCAGCAGCAGCAGTAGTAAATAATACTTCCGTGTAATACATTTTCGATAATTCTCTATTCCATTGCTCATACTGTACTCATTTAAGCGTTTCCTTTTTCAGATGTGTGGCCAATGAATACGACAGTGGTGGGAGAAGGTGAGGCCCTGTTGTTAAGTCTTAAGTCTACAAAGGTTAAAAGTATGTTAACGCCATACATAAGGTTTGGATAATAGTGTGTGTTTCTTTCCAGTTCTTACCCCCTACCCCTCCCCCCTTGGTGCTGCAAGGTTCATCAAAGATCCCTTTTATCTAAATCCTCTGGTATTTCAAACCTTTACTACATCGCTTCATGTTTGTGTATTGTATTTTTGAATAGTCCGTGAAACGTTTCTTTCACGAAAACTGGTGTCATCATCTTATTCTTCTCCCGTACTCTTTTATTCTGCCAAAATTACTAGACATGGCGGCCATTCCCTTGCAGTTATCTTGCATCCTAGCTCAGTTGAGAGTCCACGTAACCAAGCAGTTGATTTTTTTGTCTTTAAGCATTAAAGAAGGTTCTAGGTCCTTATGATTTCACGTTCCTCCTAACGCTCCAGTTGAGTTGTGTTCTTCATATGGTACCATTCTGGGAAAATCGGTCCAAACTTAGAGTCATGCAGATCGTGGAGACTGAAGGTAAATGTACAATTACAACATGGTATGGTCTCCACTAGATGTAATATAACCCAGTCCCATTAAGAGAAATTTAACGATTAGAGCCGAAAAAACCCGGTTTGGTTTTGTTTTACTTTGCTGAGTGATTGGCCTAGAAAGTTGCGCCAACCCCTCAACCAGTCAAATGCAACCAATCAGGGCTCGTTCACACGCGTTTTCCCGCCTTTCAGGTAGTTTACGTGTTTTCACTCTCATTCCCTATAGGTTCCTCGAGATAATATACCTTGCTCTTATTGGCCGTTGGGATTACTTTTGTTTTGGCCTTACGATTCTCGATGGAAAGGCGCTTCATTGAAATCGTTGCTTGCAGTGCTTTCCCTAACATCCCTCGAAACTCTTCTCTCACTTTTATGGATAGCATTATGGCACCCATCCATTCACTCAAATGAATCAAACGAACGGAAAAACATAGATTTTTATCAGATCCAGTGCTAAAGTTTGTCAAGGCATGGTAAAAACTGTGGGAACTTGTCAAATCTGTTTCTTTTTATTTTTGTGTAGATGATGAAGGAAACCACCAAACACAGCACAGAACTCTAACAAATCTTCTCAAAGAACTTAGAATTCCTGCAGAAGTTCGGGTAAAAATCTCTGTTCTCTTTGATTTTTATTCGCAGTTCCTGATGAACGTAATTGTGTCGCTGATCGGTTCAGTTCATTACAAGGTTGTCCCTTGGCCTTCTTATAAAATTCCTCTAAATTTATTGCAGATCTTTTCTCCTGCGAAAGCTATAATTTAAAAAATGATACCAAAGGACTTTCTCGGGAGCTCAGAGGGCAAAAAATGATTTAGTCTGAATAGCTGCCATTTCCCTTGGAGATCTCCATATTCTGTAACATCAACGATGCCATGATTAAGTTTGTTTGGTTCATGGTCACCAAATAGTCATTTTCTTTCATAAACGGGTTATCTTCAATCAGAAGACATTTTTATCACATACGTACCTTCCTTTTGTTTATATCCTAGATGATTCACGTTACACAAGAATCTCTTTCTCTTACAAGAAATGCTGATGGACTAGCGGTGAGTTCATACGATCTACCTTGCTTTAATTTTCCAAAAGATCAATCTTCCCGCTGTAATTTTTCATCGACATGACGGCTGGTTTTCAAAACATCCTACGTTAACATTCTCCATATAACGTAATTAATGGGAAAAGTAGAAGCCTGTTGGTAGGTGACTTTTTCATGCCAGCTGACTGACTCTAGTTATTTTTCCCGATATAGCCCTCTACCAACTGGTATCGAACAGTGAATCAGCTCATTAGAATTCACTCAACAGACGCATGTAAGTTTTACGCGTAGGTTTCATATCTGATGCAGTTACCGGTAATGCAATGTTACTTAAGTTTATTAAGAATTTGAGGTGTAAATGTGTGTATCAGTTATCATGAAATATTCGCAAAGAGCATTTGTAAGGATGCGGGAGACTTCAGTTAGAGACCTTGCATATAATTGCCGTCACATTTAGCGAATGTGTTTGTGTACTCATAGTTTTGACACAGTTGAAGAGTGTAGATTCATCATGAATGTTATTAATGTTGCCTTTCTTCCAGTCGTTGTATTTACTGGTCTTCCCCATCCTCCTAACGAGGAAAACATGGCTCAGCAATTTATTCAAGACATAACTGTGCTGTCAGGTAACACTGAAATCTAATTTGGCTTAGGGTTTAGTTTAATGCTGCTGAGCAATAAAGGAAAAAAACTGCCAAGGGTACAGATGACTATTAGACACACTGCTGTGCAGTGACATATTATTTTCTTTACCCTTTTCTTGCGATTCATTGATGAAAATTCTGTGATCCCTTGGCCACTCGGTGTTAAATAGGTCCTTAAGGCGTACATTTGTCTGTTGCCGAAGTCGTAGTACCTGAATTGTTGTAACAGACAGTTACTTAATTTACAGGTAATATTCATTACACAGTTAAAATTAGCGCTTGACTAACTGTTTTAAACTTATTTTGTTACAGATAACCTTCCTCCGGTTATGATGGTGTACGGAAAATCAAAAGTAGTGTCAACATCATTATAAACCGCATCTTACGTCTTACTCAGTACCTCCTGAGAGTGAGAATAACAACATCCTAGGTTATGATCAAGACTGGGCACTTTACAAATACTAGGGGAGATGGGAGGCGCTTTTCTAGCACAGAACACCGGAAAAATTATTTTCTTGTTGTCTCTGTTTACAACACTCATGTGGATTGGTACTGCAATATTTGACAAACACTGATTTGAGAAGGAATAACAGGATTAGGAAGTAATTAGCACTGTTCCCTGCTGGGAAAATACTGGCTTTAAAGGCACTCAATGACTGTAGAGAAATTTTGTAGAACATTTGCATTTTCTTTCTTTCTGCAGAGTTTTTTAGTTTATTTGTTCTGTTTTCAATAAACCTACCTGTAAACAAAGCCAGATCTTGCAAACATTTTTAACTTGCTTCTATGCTTAAGTATGAATTATGTATTGAATCAACATTACTGTATAGCCTAAAAAGGAAATATTCTATGATTTATTTATACACTGATTTTGTAGATGACAGTTGACAATATATATATTTGTACGTATTAAGTTTAGTAGATAAGTTATCTGAAATTGTTGTAAGTGCATTGCAGTTATGTTTTTAATGCAATGTTCTGTTACCTTTAGAAGAGCAAACTAATCCACAGATCTTTAAATTCTAATTAAAGCCATTTCAGTAGATAAAATGACTACAAGTTGCTTGGGCGTTGGTGCTGTTATATACAAGAACATTACAAGATAATTTGGTTTTCTTAACTGAGCCGATAATGTAAAATAGCCACCATTAAAGAATTTCCAAAGCTAACATTTTGAGTGTTAGGCTAATGCTCGAAACATTAGCTTTAGAATCTTTTTATGGTAGCCATTTTACATTATCTATTCAGTTACTCACTTACTTACTACCCGTGCACCCCTTCCTCAACCTGCTCCTGTACTGACCCCCACATCTGGTGTATGGCTTCATCTTCTCTTTGACTGTTCGCTGCCAAGTTGTTTAAGGTCGGCCTCTCTTTCTCTTTCTCTCTGATGTCCAGTGGATGGCCACTCTTGCAATACTATCAGGTTCTCTTCAAGGACATGCCAGATCCATCTCCATTGTCGTTTTATGAGTCTGTTCTTCGTATCTTCAAGTTGGCACTGCTCCATTAGCTCTTGATTGGAGATGGTTCTTGGCCAAAATATACAAGAGATCCTTCAGAGACATGTCCTGTGGAAAACTAACAACCTTTTAAGTTTAGCCTCCGTAATTCACCAACACTCTGAGCTGTATGGCAAGGTTGACGGGACACAACTCTGGTAAATACACAGCTTTGTTTTCTTGTTGTACCAGGCTGACTTCAACACCTGTACCCCAAAAAAGGGAAGATGCTGAATGTGGAAGCATATTCAATACAACAACATTTCTTGCATTGCAAACTTAATTACGAGAATCAATTTATAAATGTCACTGTGAAAAATGTTAGCATTTTTACCCGTACTTTCCGTAATGACCCTCACTTTCTTGTTTTTGTGGACTTGGTTTTCCTAACGGACTTCAGGCAATTGTTACGCTAATTTCTTGGATTGCTTGGGTCAGGTCTGTGTGTGACTCATGTCTATGACTCAAGTCAAGGGTGATTTATTGGGCTGATTTTTTGGTCATAAAAGGTCGACTTATACACAAGTAAATACGGTAGGTATTTTCTGGTTTTTGTCAAGTTTTACTGGTGTATTGAGCTACTTTTCTCCAGGTGATGACAAAACAACCTGGAATTTCATTGGCTACCACAAGTTTTTATGTCTTAAAATCCAAGATTTCCATGTGGTTCTGACTCTCCTCTCTCTTTCTCCAACTTTCATGAACTTTGAAAGGTATTTTAGTTAAACATGAACTTTTGTTCCTATGATATTTCACATGAAAGCTTTGGTCAATTTATTTGCATTGCCATGTAGCTGGAACGGTTGCTTTTAATGATATGCCAACAAAGGGAGTGAACTCACTTTGAATAGTAAAAGATAAACATGGGCTGATACTATTGTTGAATATTCAACACTGGCCAAGTCACATTAGAAAATATTGTTTCTCACAAGAAGTGACGATGCCTGCTGCCAATTTATTGTTCAAAATTGTTTCTGAGCCAATCATCAGTGTCGAACCATTCCTCTAAGGTAACCTAAACTTTTGGTTTAGTTCCCCTCACTGCCATTGACTTTTGAAAGCTTTTAAGATAAACAACCAAGGTAAGTAAATAAACAAATTTTTACACCAAGACATTTAATTCCAAAAGTTTCTTTGACGCATGTTCTCTGTTAATGTGCAAACAAAGTTTCCTTGGCACTGGCTTTAACCAGAGCTCATCACATTAAATTCTGGGAACATATTTAGTTCACCAACTTATGGTGGTTGAGTGCATTTGGCACCTAAAACAAAGTCATTACACAAAGCCCTCTAAAAGTTTACGCTGGACTAATGAACGAATTTTTGTTCTTGAGTTAATTGACCACAATATCCATTAACATTAAAATTCCTTCAAACATAATCCAACCAAACAATGATGCTATCCAAAACATAAATTCAAGCTTTAAGGATTAATATCCCCTTTTCTGACTTTTTTTCATAATGTGAGTGAGTGAGCCCTATCTCTTTAGTGATGATAGTGGTCATGAGAATACTCAAACTTATCTGGTGAAAGTTGTCAACTTGATCTTACACCACATTCTTATAACCAATTTACAAGGAAATGAGTAGCAGCTGGAGGGGAGAATTAACAATCAGATCTTGGGAGTGAAAAGGTAAATTTTTGCTTAAAGTTGTGTGTAAAACTCACCACTTACATCATGTGAATTCTACAATTATAAACTTTGAAAATTTACAAAATTAACATTGCTAAAATTTTAAAATTGTAATATAGTACTTGTGCTGTGCTTTTCCTATGACTATGTGAAATCCTAAGTAGAATGCAATGCTTCCTTCACTATTTTTGACCCAAGCACTAGTACTGATAGACACCAATGTCAAGTCTGCATGCACATGTACTGGTAGTTCTGATGGTATCCACTGACTTGCAATGATGACATTTTATGAATGTAGAGTGACAGATGTTTAAAAATCTTAATCATTCATGTTTAGTTCTTGTTGCATTTAAGTGTTCCATAATGTTTTCCTTTTTCCCTTGACTTAGAGGTCCGAAGGCATACACATTCTTCAGTTTTTTGGTTTTGTGTTTTTGCCAAGCTTCATTAAACATCCTCTGTTCTTCTTGTTTCCTTTCCCAAGCATGTTCAAATTCTTGTGCCTATATCAGAAAATAGAAAAATAGAAAACAATAATTTTTCTTAACCTTTTCAAAATTTAAAAAATGGAAATATGTTCTACAAATTCTTAGTTCCTACTGTGCCTTCTCATAATGCATCATGCAATAGACACAATGTATTATGCAAATTGCTTGTTAAGGCATTGTCAGTCATGATGTGGAGATCTAAGGAAACACATATAATATTTCAGAGGGTTAAAAAAGGTTGTAATAATCTATCTATTATCCAAATGCACCAAATAGAATACTAGTATGAAGAACTAATGCCTGAAATGCCAGCTTTGAGACTCTTAGCAGTGGCCAACTTATGTTATCAACTCACTTGAGAATAACAAGTTACCTTGTCAAAGATACTTATTTTCTGTCTTTCATCAAAAATCAAGAAGTAGCCAGCTTAAAGTATCATGACAGCCAGTGGGTTTGCAGCCACACACCAGCTTTTAATGACAACTCTGAGGACTACTTAAACTTGTGATTTAAAACTTGGTACTTTTAAACCTACCTGTGTCAAATAGGGAACTGCCAGAAGACTCTCATTTCTTTGTAATCTCAATTCATTTTTCACTTTAGTTCGCCTGATGGTTGGTGTTTCCCTTTTCACAAGACGGTACTTCCTGAAAAGTACATTTAACAAAATGAGGAAATTAACATTAATTCTTTCACCATGTCTTTAAAGACCCTCACATCTTCCACTGCCATTAATCTTCGCATAGCAAAGGCAATTAATAACCTGTACCTTGGTAACTGTTATATTTTCATTATGGAAGTACAGCTATAACAGTTGAAAATATACACTGTAGAATGAAGGTAATACTGTAAAGAACTGTTTTCAGAGACAGTAGCTGATGTTTTAAAAAACCTTGTAAACAGAAGTTTTGTCAATCCAATGTCATTAGTCTGGTTTGCCATAAGTGATTGGTTAGTTTTTCTGCCTGTAATACTCAGTAGTTTTTTTGTCACTTTGGATTGTGCCAGAGTCTGACAGCCAATTACATCACAGCTAATAATTTTCCATGACAGACTTGTAGGAATTAGCTGTCAAGCTCTGCATGACCTCATGATGGCTTCCATTCAATGACAGCTGTCACTTATTCCACAGAGAGTATCAGGGCTTCACAAAACCTTGCACATACAGAGCCACTTTAAATTGTGCATACCACAAGCAAAAAGACCAAAATTCCAGAATTAGTCACTCCATGCTTGTAACATTACCTTTCAAAATGAACTGATTGTTAACAATTTCCAAAAACTCCCAAAACAATATCACAGGTTCTTAAATGTACTGCTTTCCATATCCCTACCACCCCAACCAACGACGCCCCCCCACCACCACCACCACCGCCATCTACAGTGCACATGTAAAATGCTAACATTTCGATCGTATCATCTTGCTGCGTTTTAACAACAAAGTACTACACAACCACAAAACCATTTTCCAAATCATTTTTGTGTGTTATTCCTTGATCAAATTTTTCAAATAGGCCCTTATCCCTTCCTTGCCGATGGATGACTCAAAATTAATTAAGTTTGATCACAATCATTGATGGTCTACAGTTTTCAGAGAGCAGCAGATAGTTGATTAGAGTTATATTCTCCGAACAAACACGTTAATGAAAGTATAATTACCCGCCATAAATCCTTCCAGGTATATGTCGCTTGCATAAGATTCTAGTTAACCACATGGCTTACAAAATATCTCAAAAGTCTTCTCTCAAATCCTTTGAGGAAACCAAAATGGCGTCCAGCCTCACTCGCTGAGGAAGACTGGGTCTAGTTACGCACACGAACTTTATACACTACATGACTGTTACACAACAGATTGATGTCTTGGTATGAACATGGCGACCACAGCTGTGAAAGAGGTTGTGGTTTGTTCTACGTTATTACGACAATGCTGCTCACAGTGGAAAGGTTTCCCTCAAATGAACGTTTTAAACAGTGCTTCTGTAATTTCAGGTATGAATCAATCTGTGTTGAAGCTCTAAAAGATGTTGATCTGTCGTACATTAAATTCGCCAAGTCTCCATACTCAAATATCCCCGTGAGCTTCACACGATGGAATGAGTTTAGGGTTATAGTATTCCCTAGAAATAAAAGTTTTCAAATCGTTTTTGTTTTAATATCTTGTGGTTTATCTGAGCTGCATGGCGATCCAAGCTGTGCATTGATGCAATAAGTCACGTTTGTCGTGTAAGTGATGTAATGTAACTCGTCAAAGATGTAAACTCTATATTACACGTGTATCAAGGTGCGCCAGGGGAACGAATGTGCTGCGTATGTCCCCCCTAACTCCCATGTCACGGTCACAGTATATTTCGTATAAATACTCGGAGTCAGCTTTTAAGAACTTTCTACACTAACAAACCAGATATTTTTTCGCATTCAAAATGAGTGTTCAGTGGCTCAGCCGCACATGATGAAATTGTACATGTGTATAGTCTTAGAAAATATTTCCTTTGGAACATAATTTTAAAGTCTTAAATTTGTTTCAAAGAGGAAGTATTATGTTATCTATTCAAATCCTTATATATGAATGTTAATCAGTTTCTACCTAGTGTTTTCCTCTAACTTTTTGCTAGGCTTGTCCTGGGAATCTGGTATTCTATCAGGGTCACATTCCTTTCCTTAATTCTTGTTACCCACATACTCAACAGGGTATTAAAGTTGTTGGTAGAATTTACATTCTGATCACTCCTTACAGACTAATAGTTGGTGTAAGCTTGCTTAAAGAATACAAAATATTTTAATGGACTTTTCAGACTTGTGAAGTAATAATTATTACAGTTTTCTTGTTTGAAGTATAATAGCCAATTTGATGTGTTTACCTCATGCTACAGGTGTGCGATTTTTTAGAGGAAGTAACAGAGACAAACGAAGACGAGAGAGAAATTTAAGGCTAAAACTTAAAGAGCGAGAAGGAATTCAGCCACTGTGAGTTTGTCATAATCATTTTAAGAGTATTTTTTAAGTTATTAGGCTGTGAATAGGAATTGTGTCACCATAACAATTGAAGTGGTCTCCTTGTACCGTTGCCCAAAAGTGAATTTCCATCACCAAAAAGCATGGTTGCATTACCCCCAACTTTTGACCTAAGATAAATTTAAGGTTTTAAATGTAGTTTGAGATTAGTTTTAAAGTTTGAAGGTGCTACCACGCAAGTATCAAAACCTCCAACCAACAATGGCAGTGTTGTGACAGCTTAGTAAACTTTTCACTAGGGATGTTCCATCCAGGTTGGTATAAGCAGTCACGGCAACCATGCAAGGGTTTGACATCACCTACAGTGTAAATTGTCCTGTTTTTTTTTTGAGGGGGAGGGGGGGTAGCCCTATTCCACAATAATAATGATTATAATATTCTTTAAATGGTGATTAGTAGTAGTTGGCTTAAAGAGTCCATAGAAATTTTATTTTGAACAAGACCACAATTTTCTTAAGCAAAGTTAAGCATTTACTGGTGATCTGATGCAGTGTTATTGAAAGTAAATGAAAGCATCAGTTCAGTAAATTAATTTATGTTGTTGTTCCTTTTTGCAGAGTTTTCAACAAAAAAGAATTTTTCAGAAGAAACTTTGAAAGAGAGTTGTTTGCATTCAAGAACAGACTGGGTTTAACTTTTCAAGATGATAACACACTTAGAACGGCCTTGACTCACGAGTCCTACAAACATGACGGTAGAAAAGGATCAGTTCACACACAGGAGAATAATGGAAAACTGTCACTGATTGGTTTGTAGTTTTCCATTTTTTTTTAACTCTTAATTCTGACATCTTGGCTATATTTTTTTTTTAATCAGGACCTGTTTATATCTATGGTAAATAGATCTGTGATATCTCTCAGTTACTTTGTTTGCCGTGATTGTTCAATTTAGTAGGCCGTGTTTCACTGTACAGCCTCCTAGATTTAAAGTTTTGTTCAAAATGAAATCTTTCCCTTCTTTTTGATCCCAGATATGCATTAAATATCTTACTGACCTCTTTGTCTTGATTTTTGGCTCAGTTGCTTTTCACCAGTAATATAAATCCAATAAAAAAAACTTGATTTATAATTTATAGAACAGACCTTGAACTTGGTTAAAAAAAAATTGCACCTTCCCTATTGTTTACGTATTTGAAAATTTTGTGCCTGCAATCAGAATTGTACAGGTTGTCTCTCTGTTATGATTCAATTTTAGGTAGTCTACAAGAGAAATGAAAAAAATTTGTTTTTCTTTTACATGGTACTGATCATTTCTTTTTTTAATATCTTTTTTTAGGAGTTACAGCTTCTTCATTGTATATTGTTGATCACTTGTGTAACACATACCCCTCCCTACCCTGCTTAGGTGTAAGGTAAATATCTTACAAACAAATTCCGTAGTGTCACTGTTTGATTTTGGCGTTGAAAGTAGCAAACCATGCAAAGTGCATGTACAGCTGTATATAGTATTACGTTTGTGAGACTGATTTATGGCACAGCTAAAGATTTGAGCACACAGTCTCTATGTCTCAGGGACATGTATAGTGTTGTGTTAACCTTTAAACTCTTAAGATCTGATTGTTAATTCTCCCCTCCAGCTGCTACACATTTCCTTGTAAATAAGTTACAAGAATTTGGTGTTAGATCAACATAACAACCTCTACCTGATAATTTTGAATATTCTCATGACCTGTTAGCTGGATAATGTTTAGATATTATAGGGAGAAGTTTCTTGTTGATCACACCTGGAAGTTAAAGGGTTAAGGCTGCAGAGACATATATTGTGCCCAAAATCTGAAGCACAAAGCAACTTTATAGTTACTGTACTGAAATTTGGCCATTACCTCACAAGTCAACACTGCAAGGTTAACCTGCCTATGATACTAATACAGTAGAACTATCCAATATTTTTAGAAGTAAGAAAAGGACGAAAAAGGCAACAATAAGATAATAAGTAATTGTTTAACAAAATTTTTGATTCACCCTAGATTGAAAATGAAAATACAGCATTTTATTCCTAGTGCACTGTCCATATCAAGTGTTTGTGAATACAACTCCAACATACTGATGGAATGTAAATTATGTGTTTTTGCTTTAACCCTTTAACTCCCAAGATCTGATTGTTAATTCTCCCCTGTAGCTGCTACACATTTCCTTGTAAATTAGTAATGAGAATTTGGTGCTAGATCAAGATAGCAGCTTCTACCTGATAAATTTGAATATTCTCATTGCCTGTTTGCTGAAGAATGTATGGATATTGTAGGGAGAAGTTTTATCTTAATCACTTCTAGGAGTTAAAGGGTTAAATATCATAGAAACTAAACTTAGTTTTGCAACAATATCCTTTCTCAAGTGATTTCTTTTTCTTCCTTGATCCAAAATCTCAGTTTTTGTGCAATTTTTCAAACCCCCAAGAAACACCATCAAAATTAACTCCCTGATTATTAACATCAAACTGCATTCCTTTGCACAGATGTCTTCACGATTTTCTTATGGGCAGAAGTACCATTGTAAAATTATCAAAACTCATAGCATTGGCAGACCTGATCAGAATGGAGGTAACTAAATAAATTTAATATTAGAGATTTGATTCATATCCTGTTTTCAGGTTTGTTGTAATTTCTTAAAAACCTCAATTGTATTAATTTGAACATTGTTTCCCTCTATTCTTCTTCTAACTTACTGACGGCAAGGAAAATTATTAATCAAGCTTAATTGAAGTACGGTATGTATAGTTGTTTCAAGGCAAAAGTGTAAACAGCAATCTCAAGCGGTAATCTTGGTATCCAGTAATTGATGAATTTTAATAAGTGAAATAAATTTAAAAAATTAATCTAACCTACAGTATCCTTGCTGTGACACATTCTCAGTTTTCCCTGAAATCCTATGGTCAAGGAGCTGTGACCTGAGAACTACCCACAATACCTTTTCAGGTTGTCTTGTGCACTTTTACACTTTTTTTTTTCTGGCAACCTGTCTCAAAGCTGTTGTATACACATATGTGTCACTCTTGGTGTAACCTAATGATGTTGATGTTTGATACTCCTTTCTGCATTAATTTTTTTTTTCCTTTGCTACACAGCATGACTTAGATGAACTTAACAAAGAGAAACATCTGGATTATAGACAGGAGGATGTCATTTGTGATGCATTCTTCGCATTTATTGGAGCAATTTATATTGATCAGGTAAGCTAACATGTAAAAATTAATAATATATAATAATTACTGATTATAGCATAAACAAAATATTTTTCATCTCACATTTAAGTCTTTAACCCTTTAACTCCCAAGATCTGATTGTTAATTCTCCCAACTAGCTGTTACACGTTTCCTTGTAATTCAGTTACAAGAATTTGGTGTTATATCTTGATAACAACATTTAACTGATAAGTTTGAGTAATCTCGTTACCTGTTTGTTGGATAGTGTATGGACATTGTAAGGAGAAGTTACATGTAAATCACTTCTGGGAGTTAGCAATTATCCCAAATTCATTGCATGAGAGTCCATTGCTTCATCTCCATTCCAATCAACAACAATAAATACATATACCTTGGTACCTATATTGCAAAGTACTAACAGCAATTATTTTTTTGCTTTAGTTTATGGTATATAACTCTGTGATTTCCTTTCACAAAAAAGCCATTAATTTTAGTGAGTGATGTTAGGTGTATGGGTTATTTTGTAATTAACAAAGGTAATATATTATTAACAAGATTAATGTGTATTTGTGTTTGATTGTATCACTTATCTGATTGGTTTGCAGTAGAAAATTTCAGTATTTTTTTTATTGACAATAATTATTTGAATTTAAGGGACCTGCTGAAGCAAGAAGATTTGTAGATGACTTTGTCATTACTCAGCTTCAAGGAGAGGAACTTCATAAAATTCTTCACTTCCCATCAGCAGAAATAGTCCTGACCAATATCTTTATAACAGGTGGAAAAGAAAAGCCTGTTGCAAGGTAAAATTAGAGGATCTAAACTCTTATTATAAGTAATTATGGAACAAAAAACATCTCTCTTATTCTATGAACAAACATGATTGACATTGCTGATCCAAGCAGTATACAGGAAGTGTGTCATATATGAACTTCATAAGGGCCCATGCTCACCATAGAGTCTCTGTGGCTCAATGGTAAAGCATCAGAGTGTGGATTCCTCTTGGGAACTCATAATTTTTTCCTTTGTCCAACGCTCCTGACCTGATGAAAAACATCTTTCTGTAAAATAGTTGTACTTGCAAGGGTCAATGATATCTCAACATGCACAGAAATGTGTTTTTAAACTGTCATGAGACAGATGACCAGCTCAGTTGTTAAACTCTTTAAACCCTAAGAGGGATAAGCATTCTAATTCTCCTTACAATATAACTGCTGAATCAAACATTAAAGTCTTGAGAATAGAGGAATTGAACACCTATCAAAACAACTCTTGATTGTAAAACAAATTCTCCCTGTCAGCTCCATAGAAATGTATAGATGTAGTATGGAGAATGTGTATACTGAAAAAGGTTACTGCAAAGGGCTAAGGGCTAAGTTTGAATTCAGCTGTTTTCTAAGAGCTTCCTTGTCTCTGGGTTAAATACTAATTAAATTGTTGCAGACTAATGGTTGCAATTGATTGATCTACATGTATTGTTTGCAGAGTAATCCAAGAAAGTGGAGTGAAAACAAATTTCCCAATCTATGTAGTAGGTGTATTCTCTGGAGAGCAAATGATATCAGAAGGTAAAGAATAGCCATCTTATTTATTAAACCTTTAACTCCAAAGATCTGATTGTTAATTCTCCCTTCTAGCTGCTACACAGTTGTAAATTACATATAGTTATGAAAATTAAGTGTTAGGTGAAGATAACAACTTCTATCTGATAAGTTTTAATATTCTCATTACCTGTTTGCTGTATAATATAAGGATATTATAGGGAGACTTTTCATGTTTGATCTCTTCCGGGAATTAAAGGGTTAGTAAGTGATTAAGACTGGCCTGGAACTTAACACCGAACAATGCTCAGTAAATTACAATTTCTTTGACAATGAAGCAATGTGCTTAAATTCAACTCTTGTATCTATTTTGGATGTGATTGAAATATTTTGATTGCTAACATGATTAGAAAGCTTAACTGTATAAAAAATCCCCCTGGAATGTTTAGAGCTTACAAGAAGAGTTTGCAAGTCACAAGCTTAAGGCAAGTGATTTTCAAGCTTTGTGAGTGTTCTACCACCATTCCAAGTGGATTTTGACACTCCTAGATAGATAGAAAGTGAATTCTACACATATTTTCAGATTGCACTCTTAGTATAGCTGCCCCTGTTTTCCAGCCCTCATTGTTATTCAGGGCATCAAGCACACATTTAATGTCTTGTCCTTTCAACTGAAAATGAAAATTGAAATTCTGGGGTTTATATAAAGGTAGTATTTGACCAGTGAGATCAATTGTAATATTGAGGTTACTTTATGGCTCAGTCAACTTTTAGCTACTTTTTTTTTAATACTTCTTTTCAAGAGCGCACAATTTCAGATCTGCATCATAATTTATATTCTTCCTCTCTATGGCCAAAACTTTACAAATGTGTTCACTTGATGTATTTTTTTGTTCCTTTACAATTTTCAGCTTCAAGTTACAATTTGCTCACTGCTACACATGAAGTAAGTGAATGATAATTTTTTATGTAATGGTTGTGATGTGTAGAACATGTCTAAGTGAAATGCCTTCAAATGATTCATTGATTGACTGACTGATTAACTGACTGACTGACTGATTTGTGTTTCTGCAAGAGAGTTAACTTTCAGGGTAAACTGACAAAATTATTGGGAATTACTTGTGTTGAACTGTCTGTCTGATTGGGGGTTGGGTCCAAAACTAGCATCATCAACAGTGTAGTTGGAAGCCAGTTACCTGTCTTGTATCAATTGTGAACCACTAGGGTGGTGGGAGAATGCACTCTGATATCTGTATGGCATTTATTGGCATGTTAGGTTGTTTTATTCCTTTAATGATCACTTTTGCATGGAAATGGGAGTCTGATATACCTTTTGACCACTCTTACTAACCACGCCCTTGCCTCACAGCAAAGTGGAGAGGCAATTCTCCTGGGTGCCTCATATAACAAAGAATAGCAAGAATATCTTTCTGAAGTTAATACCAATAGGTTAGTTTTTTTGAGAAGAAATCTGACATTTAAGCACTTTTTCTTGTGTTTTAGGCTTGGAAGGCGGCACTAATGAAATATTGCCAAGAAGGAATGCTGATGCCTTTCCCCAAAGAGCGTAAAAGTGTACAGAATGTCTCATGTTAAATAAACCACCCTACTTGTAAATACTGTATTGTGAAAGGAATCTTCCCTCATAATCCGTTAAATAACAGTGCTGTGTTAAATGATTTCAATTAGGAAATCTTGGTATTAAGATGAAGAACTCTTAAAATGAAGAATTCAAGTGTTGTCATGACAAGATTAAAGGAATGGAAGTAATGTCATAAGGATTGTGCAAATGGATAGAAAATAGGGTGATCTATTCCATACAAAGAGAAAAACAAAGTTCTGTCAACACTTCACTTTAAAATACTGGATTTCAACTCTTAACTTATCCAACTTTCTAAACATTTCATGGGGACTTAAGTAGTCAGGCTTACATCAAAAATTTTGAAAATAGTAACCCCTTACACTCCAACATCAGTATGCATATTCTCCATACTTTCTCTATACATTTCTTTAGGTTCTGAAAAAGAGAATTTGTTTAACAATCAAGAGCTTTTTTTATTAGTTATTGATCATTTCCCTTATTCTCATGACCCTGAATGTTTTCTTCAGGGATGATGTTGTTAGGAGAAATTAGATGCCAGTCACACTAAGGGGTTTAAGGATTAAAGATTTTGTTATTTTTTCAATGAATGTGTTGGGAAGCTGATTAGTATCAACTCCTATCATAAGTTTTCCATATTCTGCCTCTAACTACTCACAGCTGTTAGTAGTCGGTCATATAACTTTAAACGTAGGTGTAATTTGCCGAGGAGGGGAAGGGGGGGGGGCTGGATGTGGTTGGTATAAAAGGGGTTTACTGCATATCTTCATCAAGCACCTGTATTAAGACCTCAACAGGAGGGAATTTCTTTATTTTTAACGAGCGATTTTTCATATTTTTCCACTTACACTAACGGTGTTAACATACCAGCGCAAAGGTGGCGTTCGTCTGATCCTCTTGTTGAAAGCGAGCGGTGTTGGTGTTTCACTAACCTCGAAGCCCTCATTGGAAAATGCACAACCAAATGCCATTGTTATTTAATTTATCATTAAACGGTTGTGAATATATGGAAGTCATATAGTTGAACTTCGGTTAAAGACGTGAATGTGAAAGCGATCTTCGCAGTAATGAACACTACTTAAGCGGTAGTGAAAATAAGGCCTGAAAAAAAATTCAGACCTGTACGGGATTTGAACCCATGACCTCTGCGATACCGGTGCAGTGCTCTACCAACTGAGCTAACAAGCCAACTGGGAGCTGGTTACTGTGTTGGTTCCAAATAAATTTATCATTATCATTACAATTATTAAGTTTACTTTGTAATGAGAACTGCTGAACCTCCCATTTGTAAAATTAAACACCTAACGGGAATTGTATTTGGCGAATGATAATTCATGAGAGGAACTATCTATAAACCAACCTTTCCCGTGCGTTCACCAAGTAAACGGGCGTGTAAAAATGGAACACATTAGTAACACAAAAGGAAAATAAGAAGGAGGCGTGAGATGGGTCGCTTTTTGCTCTGCGCTAACACAGCGTCCTGTTCGTTTTAAAACAACTTTACTCGTTGACTCTCAGAAGTGATCAACATGAAACTTCTCCCTATAATTTCCTTACATTATCCAGCAAATTGGTAATGAGAATATTCAAACTTATCAGGTAGAAGTCGTGTTCTTGATCTAGCACCAAATTCTCATACCCAATTTACAAGGAAATGTGTAGCAGCTGGAGGGAAAATTAACAATCAGATCTTGAGAGTTTGAAGGTTAACGCGGGTAACAGGCTCTGAGAAATGTGGTGGCCTTAGGGACGGACCAACGGTAAAGAGAGAGGGGGTGGAAGGGGAGGTTGTAGGAAACGGAGGCAATTCCCCCATATATAACAAAGAAGGAAAAATGCCCTCTTGTTATAAAAAGAAAATTGTAATAATTGCAGCTCCAGAAAATCCCGCCCTAACCCGTGACTTTTCTGAGAGCCTATCCCTAATTTTCACCTTTTGGTTAACATTTCTTCGTTTCACCTTTTTACGCGTGGGGTAAATTAATTGGAAAAGAGTGGTGTAACAGAGCTTCCAGTAGATGCTTTTCACCAAACTTGTTGTACTTACTGATCTCTGATAGGAAACAGCTTGTGTGAACGATTCAAACGGATGTAATCACACGTCAAATCTTCAATTGCTTACCTGCCGATATTTTAAACGGTATTTGACGTACATCACGCTTCAACGAATCTTTAATTGTTTGGAAATATAGATGTACTCGTTTCGAGCGAAAGGTTCTATAATCCTGCTCACCGCTTAAGCATTCAAACTGTTATTAGTCCGAGATGAATGTGGCATACTTTCGCGTGATTAATGTCCTGGTGTTGGTGATGTTTGTATTTAAAATTTCAGGAGAAACGCTGAACAGGAAGGGTGGGAAAAAACAGTTGATCATGTATCATCCGAAACCACATCAATCAGGTAATTATTCGTAATACCCCTGTTCCTTGTATTAGTGTCATAGCCCCTCAGTCAAGTCGCAGAAATCGCTCAACTCAAACACTGACCTTGTGCAGCTCATGTGAAGTTGCCGCCATGAATGAACGTCTTAGCGGACTGAACCGCAGATGTCGCTTGGCGAGAGGCAATTAGATCTCCGAGAAAACCTTAAGCATACCTAAACTATCATGGTTCGCCAAAAGACATTTTTTACGTTAATTACGTTCTGAATCTGTATCACCGACTTATCAGTCGTTTCTTTTGTGTTTGTTACCAAGGTCAATACGTTGAGGTTGTCGATAGCATTTCTTTCAAACGTTTCACCCTATTCAGGCGATAAAATATTCGGGGACACTGTAAATAATTGAGTAGACTTTCTAAACGAACTGTTCCATGATAAATGCTGAAAATAGTAACCTGCTCAGTTGCTTTCTTCCCAAACAGCTATTGTTCTCTACGGCAACGAAGGAAGCGGCCAAAATGAGGCTGATAAGGAAACAGTAAGTGGCTAATTTTAAGTTTCCGCAGCCCTTTATTTACCTGAAATCTAAAGGGACTGACATTTCTTATTGGGTATTGCTACTATTGGAGTCCAGTCATAGAGTGTGGTGTTTTCTCCAATTGCCATATTTTTTGCCCACGTAGATGATCACGCTGAAAATTTTTCACTAGTTTGATATTCGGTCGAATTTCGGTACAGAGTCAGATATAAAATTTTAAGCTTGTGTGTTATGTAGTAAAACAGTGTGTGTGGTGGATATTTACTTACCCACTTTACAGCTGGGTAAATATCCACCATTTTTACCTCCGTTTCGTAAGTCCCCCGAATCCAGGCTCCAGGGTCAGGGTTGCAGATTGTTTAATGAACGCTCACAACATTACATTCTTTATCAGATTAACACGCTTTCAAACAATCTTGAAACTGTGACGAGCCTGGTCAAAGCCCAGTCAGCAATCATAGAAAATCTCAGCAACCAAGTCTCTACAGTTGTCAAAGGAACAGGCTATGAGAAGGAGTTTAAACAAATATTTGACAAGTTCGCCAATCATACCAAGAAGATTCAAAATGTAACAAAGAAGTTGAATAAAACAGTTAGCCATATTAACGAGCTGGCAGCAGTATGGTCAGAGACAACCATCACATTTAGCAAAGATTTCAAAAAGCCTAAAAGAGAAAAACAGGGCAAACCCAAGATGAGATAGAAGACTTGGAGAAAAACTCACCGAGAAAATTGAAAAGTTGGAACAGGAGGTTAAAACTTTAAAAGTTTCTTTAAGTTATGCCCAAGAAGAAAGTGCATCGCTCAAGGAGGGTAAATATATATTTATTCTGTTTCATAGACTCAGTTGTTCCTCAAAATATTCACGAAAGTTGTTCAAATTGATTGTATAATCTTTGGAAAAAGTTGTATAGACACTCTTCCCACCCCTCCCCCCAAAAAATTTTTTATTGCGCAATAGTTTGAAAATATTCGGGACCACACGTTTTCTCGAAACTGAGAACGCTTCAGAGACCAGTCAATCGCCGGAGAGGAGGGGTGGGGGATTTTGGTAGAATCACATAGTTTTAAGGCGAAACTCAGGAGTGTTAGTCTTCACAAACAGTGTACTAAGAGGGGGGGACTACAAAAAATTGACTACCACTTAGCTGCCAATCAATGGGCGGTTTATAACAATCCTACAGAGCTGTATGCTCTACGAGGGATCAGATGAATTTTATCGTGACACAAACTGTATCACCACCTGTCCCCCCTACGTGAGAAATGATGATCGGTCCCTTACGAAACACACGTATTGTTCATTCTATAGAGTGGCCCGAAGGTAAATTCTGCATCTTGGCAAATGGCCGCTGCCCACGAGGATTTCGACGCCACGAGGGGCATCTCAAGTCATTGTATTTGTACTCGTCCCATTCACAGTTTGTGAACTCGGCCAAATTTGGAAGCAGTTCTATTGGTTGCTATGGTAGCTACTGTGGACAATACGGCAATTTCATTGGCTCTCTCACTTTGATCACGTGTTGCAAATAGAAAATCTATGACGTAGTCATCGAATTACAAACAAAACAACCAGGAAAATTAAGGATAAAAAGTTTTCCATAACAATGCGTTTAATTGAACAAAGATTAAAAGTGTCTGGCTCAGCAATTTCTAATTACAAAGACCATTCATCTACAAAAATATATTTCAAATTGAAAAAAAAGAATAAGACTATGTCTCAAATTTTGGTTATGATTTTACCACAAGCGGGAAATCCTGTTTTGGTACGTATATCCCCATCGAAACTATTTTTGTCTGGTTAAATAAAATCATCAAGTTTGTTAACTTAAGTCGTTAGGAAGAGCTTTGTCAAGGTAGGCTAAAAGATAAATTGTGTCTCTTTAGAAAACTCATTCCGATAGGAAATCTCTCTACTAACAAACTCACTTAATCATTCAATTCGAGTCTGAGGTATACAATCAACTTAAAGATTCGCTTCTTGCGCATGCGGCAAAGTCTACATCGGAGAAACGGGACGACCCATGAAAGAAAGAATAAAAGAACACGACAAGGACATGCGACTCGCACGCACTCAGAATTCCGCGGTTTCAGAACACGCTAACGGAACCAGACACGAGCTGCTGTGGAACGAAATGAAGTTTATTGACCGAAACAACCATTGGTACACAAGGAAAGTGAAAGAGGCAAGAGATAACCCAAACAACATAAACAAGGACAACGAAGCCGAAATACCGGAAGCGTGGATGCTGCCAATTAGAAAACATCAAAGCCAGCGACGCACGGCAAACTAGCGAACGCTTGAGGAAACCGTGGTACACGAAAACAATAGCCGGATCGAAATGCACCAATCGCAGCAGGCCACCATGATACATAATGTTGCACTAGAACCAGTCGACCCCATCGCCTGAAAAAGACTTGCAGTAAGCAGTCGAAATGTCGCGATCTACATCTAGTGACTTTGTCGTGAGACAAGCGACAAATTTATATTATCTACTATGAATATATCTTTTCGCAAAAAATCCTAAAAACTAAAAAATATACCAATAGTCTCTAGTAAGAAAAAAAAAGGGCAAGTAAAAGAATTTCTATGATAACAACCTAATTATGAATATAACGTTTTAGCTTTGTGCCCTTCTTTTACTTTTCAATGCTGCGTTTTGAAAATGACGAGTCCTATCCTTTCCTGTGGTTATTTCTAATAAGACTTTTTAAGGTCTTGCTACATCGTAATACAAATTTTCAACTATCATCTTCGAAAAAATTACCTTCTCTAGGATCTCTTGATATTAGTGTGAATATATAAATGACTTTTATCAAAATACTTAATTGTAATGTTCCCTTTTCTCTCCTTTCATTCCTTCACAACAACTTTTCTAACTCCTTCACCGTAACCAGGCTGTTAACAGTTCGTGGATCCTCTTCACCGTGCGACTTCATCCTGATGTCAAGTGCACGCTTGTTTGACTCAAGGGCTGACACAAAGTCTCCAAGTGAATGTTGAGTAGCTCCTAATGAATGATAGCTGTCAGCGGTTTTTGAATGTTCTTCACCCAGGACTTTTAACCTGATATTCAGTGCACGCTTGTCTGACTCAAGGGCTGACACAAAGTCTCCAAGTGAATGTTGAGTAACTCCTAATGAATGATAGCTGTCAGCGGTTTCTGAATGTTCTTCACCCAGGACTTTTAACCTGCTATTCAGTGCACGCTTGTTTGACTCAAGGGCTGACACAAAGTCTCCAAGTGAATGTTGAGTAGCTCCTAATGAATGATAGCTGTCAGCGGTTTCTGAATGTTCTTCACCCAGGACTTTTAACCTGATATTCAGTGCACGCTTGTTTGACTCAAGGGCTGACACAAAGTCTCCAAGTGAATGTTGAGTAACTCCTAATGAATGATAGCTGTCAGCGGTTTCTGAATGTTCTTCACCCAGGACTTTTAACCTGCTATTCAGTGCACGCTTGTTTGACTCAAGGGCTGACACAAAGTCTCCAAGTGAATGTTGAGTAACTCCTAATGAATGATAGCTGTCAGCGGTTTCTGAATGTTCTTCACCCAGGACTTTTAACCTGATATTCAGTGCACGCTTGTTTGACTCAAGGGCTGACACAAAGTCTCCAAGTGAATGTTGAGTAACTCCTAATGAATGATAGCTGTGAGCGGTTTGTGAATGTTCTTCACCCAGGACTTTTAACCTGCTATTCAGTGCACGCTTGTTTGACTCAAGGGCTGACACAAAGTCTCCAAGTGAATGTTGAGTAACTCCTAATGAATGATAGCTGTCAGCGGTTTCTGAATGTTCTTCACCCAGGACTTTTAACCTGATATTCAGTGCACGCTTGTTTGACTCAAGGGCTGACACAAAGTCTCCAAGTGAATGTTGAGTAGCTCCTAATGAATGATAGCTCTGAGCGGTTTGTGAATGTTCTTCACCCAGGACTTTTAACCTGATATTCAGTGCACGCTTGTCTGACTCAAGGGCTGACACAAAGTCTCCAAGTGAATGTTGAGTAACTCCTAATGAATGATAGCTGTCAGCGGTTTCTGAATGTTCTTCACCCAGGACTTTTAACCTGATATTCAGTGCACGCTTGTCTGACTCAAGGGCTGACACAAAGTCTCCAAGTGAATGTTGAGTAGCTCCTAATGAATGATAGCTGTCAGCGGTTTGTGAATGTTCTTCACCCAGGACTTTTAACCTGATATTCAGTGCACGCTTGTCTGACTCAAGGGCTGACACAAAGTCTCCAAGTGAATGTTGAGTAACTCCTAATGAATGATAGCTGTGAGCGGTTTGTGAATGTTCTTCACCCAGGACTTTTAACCTGATATTCAGTGCACGCTTGTCTGACTCAAGGGCTGACACAAAGTCTCCAAGTGAATGTTGAGTAACTCCTAATGAATGATAGCTGTGAGCGGTTTGTGAATGTTCTTCACCCAGGACTTTTAACCTGATATTCAGTGCACGCTTGTTTGACTCAAGGGCTGACACAAAGTCTCCAAGTGAATGTTGAGTAACTCCTAATGAATGATAGCTGTCAGCGGTTTCTGAATGTTCTTCACCCAGGACTTTTAACCTGATATTCAGTGCACGCTTCTTTGACTCAAGGGCTGACACAAAGTCTCCAAGTGAATGTTGAGTAACTCCTAACGAATGATAGCTGTGAGCGGTTTGTGAATGTTCTTCACCCAGGACTTTTAACCTGATATTCAGTGCACGCTTGTTTGACTCAAGGGCTGACACAAAGTCTCCAAGTGAATGTTGAGTAGCTCCTAATGAATGATAGCTGTCAGCGGTTTGTGAATGTTCTTCACCCAGGACTTTTAACCTGATATTCAGTGCACGCTTGTTTGACTCAAGGGCTGACACAAAGTCTCCAAGTGAATGTTGAGTAGCTCCTAATGAATGATAGCTGTCAGCGGTTTGTGAATGTTCTTCACCCAGGACTTTTAACCTGATATTCAGTGCACGCTTGTTTGACTCAAGGGCTGACACAAAGTCTCCAAGTGAATGTTGAGTAACTCCTAATGAATGATAGCTGTCAGCGGTTTGTGAATGTTCTTCACCCAGGACTTTTAACCTGATATTCAGTGCACGCTTGTTTGACTCAAGGGCTGACACAAAGTCTCCAAGTGAATGTTGAGTAGCTCCTAATGAATGATAGCCGTCAGCGGTTTCTGAATGTTCTTCACCCAGGACTTTTAACCTGATATTCAGTGCACGCTTCTCTGATTCCAAGGCTTCTACGTTGTTGGCTGTCGTGCGTTCGCTGTTATTTGAGGAAGTTGCACTGATGTTTTTCTCAGGTTTTGTTTGGATCTTTTCGGGATGAAAATTCAATATATCTTTTTTATGAATTGCACGGTCCATTTTCCCTTTTAATTTGATGAGCAATACTACTCCAGATAAATGAAAATGGAACCGACCCGTTGCACCAGTTGGTATGGCAGAGTCAGATTCCGTCAGTATTTGCAGCAGTAAATTACAAAAGAATTGCTTGGTTTCATCAGTGGAGATATTCTTTACTGCTTGACTCACGAGAAAGACAACTTCGGTTTGAAGTGGCTGATTATGGGTCAGTCTGGTTTTGTTTAGATGTATCCTGTCTTCTTCTCTCCTGGTTTCATCGATTTCCGGAATTACTACTAAGCCCGTGTCTCCCACTGCTTTGCATTCATCTACTGCTTTTTTGTAAAGGTCAAG